TAGTGGGTCACTTACAGCACGCGCGTTGTCATCCCGTTCATATCTGACGTTACCGCCTTGTGCTGATTGAGCTCGGCACGCTGGGTGAGTCTATTTAATTTGTTTACTCCATATGTCACTAAATGATCGTTTGACACACAATCATTATTTATTTTTATTTTTACTTAATAAAATTCAAGTAATGTTATGTTTTACTGAATTACGTGTAAATGTTATTTTGCGAAAGTTCATATCACTTGAAATTCATTAGTTATCCTCAAATTATTGCAATCACACACATACAAATAGTAGCAGATTTAAACGTAATAATTGTATCAACTATCAAGTTATTTTATAATTACCTTATAATTAGTATGCTATAATGAATTTAAAACCCAGTCAAAGCGTATATCAATTGCGCCAACTATTTGTGTCATCAACGTCTAGTGTTTCCTTTACTCCATGCTGCAATGCGATACTAATTCTAGGAACGTGACAATACTTTGAAAGTATATACCGACGTGTGTTTTAGAAACAAACGTGTCCGTCCACGTCGCTTCCTATAACGTATGAGATTGACGATTTCACTTGTTAACAAACCACCAAGGTACGTGTGCTAAATAAGTGTGTTCCCAGTTATTTCAGGATATCTAAGCAATAAGTTTATTAATAAAAAAGTTACATGTATATACATAAAACATAAAAAGCATAATTGAATATTAATGCATACGTTTTGTATTTAAATCGAGATCATGTTGGTTCGAACTTATTGTTGAATAATAATTGTTTTCTAATGAGAACAAATTGGCTGACTCGAGCCGCGACCTAAACCCCACGACATTGAATTGTTAAGTAACGCTTTAATATGCACGAAAATATTACTTAATAGTGTGGCACTGTAATATAAGTGAGTGAATCAGGTCTCATGCGGTATTCCGGTGAACAGGTTAGTGGTATCGCCCCCCTTTCTCTCGCCACTGATGCGATCTACCGTATGTGTGATGTGACGTAACCGACGGAAACTTCTCTTAATCAGTTATTCTATATGCGAAATCTGCAAACGGCTAGTTTTTAAGGGCGGTGCCGCAATGTTTTAACTTGTTATGCTTCCGCCATTATGTCCATCTTCAAGGATATATATCTATATATAGTGAAGCAATAAACACTAGATACCATAACTTGCGAAATCACCACAATTGCCTGTAATTCTATTTCCCTATTCCGTGACGGAAAATAATATAATATTTTTTGTTTGTACTTCGTGTACAACTAGAATTTATAAGAAACAAAATTCGAATAATGTTAAGCGTTCTTAGTTTATCAGAAAAACAGCAATTGAGTCGTTATCCATTTTTTTTTTTTTTTTTTTAATATAAAAATCGTTCATCCCATTGGTTCAGTCGTAACATAACTGAATATGTTTTAATAAATGTATTGGTGTAGAGTCCAGTCCAAGTTCATTATGTTTATAAAAAACAAATCCGAAGTATATTCGAATTAGGAACATATTTTTTTACATTTTTGCATTGCTTTCTGGCGATAAATTAATTTCGAATTCAGAGTTCCAATCTTTGAAATAGAAGACAAAAATCATACACAATGAAACATTATTGTAATTTTGATTGACGTTTTTTATACAAATAACGTGTGATAATCATTTAATAAATGTCAAACAAGTTATATTTCTTGACTATAAAATTTTTATTTAGTAATTTCTTTTTGCAACTTAGAATCACAAACAAGCTGATGGTCCGCCTGATGGAAGGTGGTAACCGTCGCCTATAGACATAAACAGTACCATGAATATAACAGAGTATACTGTTTCGCTCATGATCATGCAATTGCCATTACTGAAGGCTAAGGTGGTATGCCTCTGTACCCTGTAAATTAAATACCATATTCCACACTTCAAACCGAAACACAGTCATTCGTACACGACTGCTTCACAGTACAACACGAATGGGACATAGTTATACAAACAAATGACTTTTAGACAGTCTCCTTTTAGTAATTAATTTTTCGTTTAGTAATATTCGAACATTTATTAATGGTATATTTGATTATAAATATTTATTATATATACATATACATATTTATATACTTAATATATTAATTAATACATTTAACTTATACTTATTTGTATTCTTTTTTTATTTATTTATAAATTAGATATACACAAAAATAACATTAATTTATTAACATACATTATAACACAGCTTCAATAGGTATAAATGTTAGCCGTTTGTTGTTTTGATAAAAATACATACAAATTTACTTTTACTAAATATGCCGATTAGGTGCATAACTAACAGAACTAAAAATTACCAGATTGATTCAAAACTAAGTAACCTTCGGGCCTTTCACACGTATAACACAAACCATAGAATTGTCAGTAGAATGACCTCTGACACGCGTCATTATCCTACTTAATTATAATGATGATTAAAGAGGTGTCCGATATGTCTATGAGAGGTCATACACGAGCGAAAAAATAATTAATTATAATTTTGCTGGCCAAGTTCGAGTTGAATATGCATTAGTACCGCGATTCATTGCACTGTTGACACTGCATAGTCCAGTACTAATCAATTTTCAACACCTTCCTGTCACTATATCCAAATCCAAATTAATAATACAAATTTCCTTGAATATCTACGAGTATATTATTTAAGTAGATTTCATTTTAAGAAAACTAATACCTATTTATAGATTATAAAGTACGGAACCCTGGTTATCGTGTGGGTTTAACTCGCATTTGACCGATTTTTATATTTTTAGGGCCCGCTATTCATTGTGTCCTTAAAAAAAGTTGGGAAAGTTTAATATTATACGGACAATGATCTATTGTTTTTACTTATAAGTTACATTTATTAGTTCAGTTTTTCTTGTAACCTAGAAATTTATTAGTGCGTGTTTTACGTGGCGCTCAAACGCAGGAATTATATAATAATATGTGTAATGCGAGGGCGATACGTATTGCAAATAATTGTGTACATAGATCCCGACTCAAATGCAGGGTGTAATAAAAAGACTATAAACAATACATAAAAAGAAGCCGAAGCCCAAATTATATACATGAAAATGATAAAATTGAACAACTTTCCATAACTGGTTTAATTCGAAATGAATTTTTAAACGTTTTATGTTGAATCGATCGAACGATCACGTCGTTAATAGGATAACCATTGCTATGAAAAACCAGTTAAACACAGGAGATACATTGAACATACCAACCAGAGCTAATTTATAAAATTTGCTTATCCTACATTAGCCCGACGAGAATTGTACGCAAGATCCCTTTCACATACAACAACATACCTATCTACCACTACACCATGGAGGTCATCAGATAAAAATGTAATTTATCTAGTAGAAATTGTTTACACGCCGTCAAGGATATTGCAACACTTTGAACTATCAATATTTTATTATTATATGAATAGCGGCTCTTAAACGAGATCGTGCATATCTAAAATATTATCGGTCATTGTCTGTCTCTAGATACAATTCGAATATCCTTATGGTAGGAGACTCGTACAGCCTAATATTGTAAGTGTTAAAGTTTATTTGCCAGAAAGGCTCAACCACACATTATGAAAATATGTGTGCACTAAATATTTGACATAAAATACATTTAATAACAAATTACACGGACCAATTCAGGTATAACTAATTTCATAATATTCTGTGAATATTGAAGGTATTAAGTAACGGTAGGTAGGTATCAATTTCTGTATTATTTATAGCTGAGGTATCTTATACGCGAATGATACTATACTGTTGCCACTTATTACGACTCACAACCAGTCTTTTGTGCAACAACAATCTTTTCAAAAGCAAATTAGGAAAATATGTGATGACTAGGTCAAACAAACATAATTCAATTTACTTTCTATTTCAATACGTCAATGTAATAATGTTTACAAAAGTAAATGACCTGCTAATATTACACGATACACTCGTACAAACACACACATATGCATGCACGCACATGCACACATACAAGTGATATCCAAATAAAAATAAAATACGCTGTATTGACATACATACTCGTATCAAAAAAAAAGAAAGTAGCACTCCTTTTCGTCGTAAAACACAAAACCTTATACGAACCCACCGGTAGTCCAACATCTTCCTCGAGAAGGGATTATTAGTAATAGCGATCAGCAACCCCATCGCTAACAATTTGCTAATTCCCTGTCTGGGCGACCTCCACGCGGTTCTCCCTGGAAACTATCTGAACTAATTTATTTATGAAATTGTCGCGTTGGGCTAACTGACCTGCTCTATCTTCTATCATCTTACTGTATCTTCATACGTATAGTAATAATAGTATTAGATGAATATGCCATGAAATAAAAGTTATTTAGTTTAATTAAGTTTTGGAAGATATGTGGAAGAGAATGAGGTTTTGCAAAAATCGCTATTTTTATCGATTTGCCAATAAAATGCCCCCATTCAACTGTCAAATTTATCTAAAAACTTTTTTTAAATTGATTCGGTCAAAATGTATAAGGATTTAAAATCGATATACCATCAAGTGTTTATTCTAATCGTCGCCGTCACCTCGGTGCAGTCTTTCATTACCCTGTATTGCTTGAAGTGGTATTATCTAGAATATAGCCTTACCAGTTACTTGAAATCAAATATTTCAAAAAATAAATAATATTTTATTTATTTTTTATTTAACAATTGTATACATTGTTATATTACATCCCACTTATTATAATTAAGCACAAGTTTTATCTTTATTTTGAAACTTAGCCTTTATTTTTATTAACGTCCATTGCCTATATATCTTTAGGTACTTTCTATCAGACTGCATTCGTTTATTATGTGATTCAATAACCTCAACCAATGTTCTTCTGATAACTAAAATCAATACTTATTAGTATTTTTTATTATCAGTAAACCATATTTGTTTATAGTTATGCTTCATATAAAAAGCTAGGTATATACATACATATATTATGCCATCTGTATTAAAATACTTTTAATAATTTTGTTTCTTATTGTTACAGATTAAGTCACTTAGAATAAGCTTATCCAAAGATGACGTCGATATATAATTGGTACAGAGACCTCATAGACAACAGAGGTGGTAAGTAATTATTGTTTGTCATTCCTTATTGTGAATAGAATAGCGTAAACTTAAATTAATTTCAGAAGCTAGACGCCCACTATCTATGAACCTATGAAGTTTAAGAGTAAATATAAGAAACGATTATTACCGATTATCACCTTAGTATGTTATGTGTATTTAGACCTTACCGGTTCGGTCATTGATATACAAAAAAATTTCACACTTCTTACAAAACTTATCAAAGGGTTACCGAGAATATTATGTATCCAATATTTCTAAAAGATGCATAAATATTTATATTTCGATATTTCACGAAAAGATTAAACATACTGACTGGTTAGACATAGTAAGTCCATAAATTTGTAGTTTATTTTTTTTTTTTAATTTACAACATATTTGCCCTATGAAAAAATTTATTACGTGAAATATATATACATATAATAATTTTGCTTCTAAATACAATAGGTAATTTTCAATAAGATTTTAATTTGTTCTATTATTAAAATGGCTATACATATATAATTTTCCTGTTGACCATAAAATTAAATAAATAGTCAACAATCCATTCAACAGATTGCATAAGTGGTAAGTTAGTGCTTACAAAGTAGTTAACTAAGATACAGTTCGCAAAGAAGTGAATTTTGTTTTTAATTAACTATTCCATTGTATTTTAAGTTACTACGAAAGAAGGATGTTCTCATTTCACTCGTATTTTTGTATATTTGTTACACTATATATACTGTTAGTTCTGAACTTAATAATACATTTTGCTATTGCTAGGTTTTACTCCCGTATGTACATCTAGTACAATATTTTGTTGTAAATATTGGTAATCCTGTAAAACCCTTAAATCCTTGCATTTCAGATAGAAGTTTTAATTAAAAAATTAAAAGTTCTGTCTGAAATGCAATAAAATAACTTATATGTTTGTATATATATAAATTTTATTACTATGTCATAATCAATAATTTAATTATCATAACATAATAAAACTTGGAACTTAATTTAAAATAATGTAACGTCTTCAAAAAATAATTATTAAGAATTATTATGAAAAAAAAAAACTGCGGTGCTTCTTTTTATTCCACCGCCCAGTTCAGAAAGTTATTTTTAACGAAGAGTGCTAATTATACTTTTCGGACTTTGCGTAACTTTTCTGAAGTTATAGTTCATGACGAAATATGGCAATTATCTGTCAGTTTTCAAAAACAAATTGAACTTTTTTCAATCTTATTTAAAAGTTGCTCTGCTAGCGAATTAAAACGTTAATATTATTATTGAGCTATCAATGGAAATTTGGATTTTGATGTCAGAAATAAAATTGAAATATTCCAAACAAAATATGAAGTACGGACAGTTTCTATTGGCCAATTTTTGTACAATGTATAACTAGCTTTTACACGCGACTTCGTCCGTGACCAGGATATAAAGTAATATATATAACTTCCAAATACATAGTACGTGTATACACGTATAGCGCCTTAACCAATTACTATAAAATTTATTATACCAAATTTCATAGTAATTGGTTAAAGCGCTAACAGATAACAACAGAAAAAAATATAATAAAAACCTTCCCTACACGTAGCACTTATTCACGAATACGACGGATAAGCCAACTTTGATTGCGTTTAGCCGTCTTTTAGCTTAAAACACGGTCAACCACGCCTACACCAATCTGAATACATAAATTACTCAAGCGATCAGACCATGACATCCAAAAAAAAATCTACATTACTATATTCCCCGTTTATGTAATAAATAGTAACAAAATATTGATCGTTATTAATAATTTTTGAAAATTTTGTCTGTCTGTATGTTTGTTCTGGCATCACGTAAAAATTACTGCACGAAAATTTATGCGTTGTTACATAATTCTATTCCCGAAGGTCTTATAATAATAATCGTCTAATACGCCATCTAGAAATGATTCTATTTCATTGGCACGCGCGAATTTCAGAAGTAGGAACTTCTGAAATCCGCACGTTTGAAATAGGGGACAAAAGCTAGCTAGCTATTTATATAAAATAAAGAAGTTTACGACAATCAATATTACGATATGGATTTCTACTAATATATATCCACTACGTACTACAATTTAATTTTATACCATGAATAAAATATATGACCCTGGATATACATATATACTAACATACTTAACCGCCGAATCTAAATAGTGATAAGTAAGTATAACAAGATAGCTGTACCTGAGATAATGTAGAAATATTACCTTGAGTTGTCCGTAATTTAGCATTACCTGTTAATAGCTTTTAAATAAGGACATGATTACAATCATGTCCTTATTTATTAGCTATTAACAGGTAATGCAAAATTATTACAATAGGTATTATATACAAGTGGAAGTATTATAATAATCCATTTGTATAAACATATGAAGGTATATTCATAATTTTATATTTATATCTTATTATTATATTTAGAAGCAAACCTACGCTATGCAAGCAAATTGTATATTTGTTTATTTAAATGAGTTACTTCAACGTTACAAAAAATAAAATACTACTTCGAACGTAGATGTATACTTACGAATGTCAAAATATTTAGCTCAAGTTGGGTATGGTTTCTTATCCCTTTCAAAATGCGATTAACTAAACTTGCATTTTGTAAAAAAAATATATATAAATAATACTGTAATTAATATTGTCGCAACGAATCAGCTCCACAAGCATATGACCTATACCTTCAAATAATAAAGTTTGCGAAATTACCCTACCCTATTTTTCCTGGTTATGAGGTTACAATGACAACATATTAGCAAACATTTTTTTTATAAAATTGATAAAAATATTTTTCCTGCTGCAAAGGTTATCTTCATAAACGGTGTTCAATATTGAAGTAAGCTTAGAAGTGTGGCACGAAATACAACAGTATGTAACAATTTATAATTAGCTAATCTGAAATCATCTATTCGTATATGTAGATGCATAAATTTTTATAACGGTTTACTCTATCCCGACAAATTTTCTAAAAACAGTTCTAGTTGAATAAATATCTTATGTCTATTATTTTCTTGTCCTCTGATGTGATGATTACTAATCGAGAACATTTTTTCTTCATCTACATATAACGACAATTACGATAAATAGCGTATAAAAAGCATCATTTAAAAAATATAGGTAAATTTTTTTAAACAATATAAACACAAGATAAGTAATTATTTAACTTTTGACTTTGTTATTATAAACAACCACTGTTTGGGTAGGTAATACATAATTTGTCACTGTATATCACTATAAGGTGCTTAATTACATCAAAGGTCATTTTTTATTCCCAGATTAAGTTAACAGTAACAATCTGAAAAAATATATATAAATATATGCTTAAAATATTAACTGTATGTTTGGAACTGATTTATTTGAGTTGTAAGTTACATAAATTTAATGAAGAAAAGTGAAAAACAAAATTAATCCTAGCTAGTTTAGGGAAAAAAGATCGCCCGTGACGATCACTAGTGGCCCCATTACTATCAATATACCTTGTTAGGTCAACCTCCACACCATCCGCACTTGGATTCGTCACGATGGGCCATTTATTGACTTGATTTCATCCTAACAATCCAAATAGGTTTCACTGTGGTGCGTTAGATTCAAATACATTCGATAAGAGATGGTTATATTGGTCGCTTGTTTCACCTATCGTGTAGAAGAATATTCAACAAATGTCTGACAATTTTATTTAGCAGTACAATTATAAAGATATTTATTATTCATATTAGTCTTTCCCCGCGTCTTCATCTGTATATCCGGGATATTGATTAATTAGGATAAAAAGTACTTAGTACCAATATTCTTCTCTATCCAAAATACTGTGTAAACCAAATCTCATAATTACTGATTCGATTGTTAAGACATTAAGAGGTTACAAACATTCTTCGTGTTATTGTTATAACAAATATTAAGAACAATATATTAATTTTATTATAATATTAGGAAAAATAAGAATAATAGACCTTTATTACTAAACGTTTTTGTTCCCATTCTGTACATAATCTTGTATGACGAAACAACTCTGAACAATTAAATACTCTTTGCCATCACGATAACTCTTAGCGAGTAGCGGAGAAAAAAAAAAAGATAAAACTACACCCATATGGCCGAAGGTCAAGTATGAATGAAGAACCTTAATTATATCATTATTGTATAATTATATTTTAAATATGTAATTAATTTTGATAGCTATAGATAGCACTGAATCCGGTTAAATAACTCCTGAAATAATACATAACTATATAGAAATGTTTATATTAACATTAAGTAATTAATTTATATTTAATTCGATAACGAACGGCACAATTGAATGTTATTTTAAACATATATTTATAAATAGTATAAGTAGATTCTTTTATGGATTTATGACGATAAATATTTTTATACAAACAAGCTCATCATTACTTACAAAAACAGTCTTTAGAAAAATTTAAACATTGTAGAAACTTCAAGAACAGGAACGATTGCTTCTCGAGTCTAATTTCATAGAAAATTAGTACTTTTAATCAAGGTTATACAGAAAATACATTTATCTCATAGCATACTTGAATAAAAAAAAAATATGCTATTACTGTAATAAATAGATTAACTTAAAAACATTAGTTAAAAATATGAGATCGTTTTCTTTACGATTTAATGATTTGTGATATGACGTTATTATAATTATAGTAAGTGTAAAAGTTAGCAATCATTCTCTTTCCTTACTCCTCCTTTCTATTTACAAATGTTCAAATTAAATATAACCAACGTGACAACAGTAATATACAAAGCCGCTACAAACATAAATAATTAAAAATATAGTAGTATATATTAGTTTCTGTCAACGGGAAACTAGATAGTACCTACTCTTAGCTAAGACGCAACGTACGCCTTAACTATCTGTATTCTGCCATTAGAAATTAGTCTTGTGATTGAACATACAATAGTTTACGATGTGTGATTTTAAAATTGAATATTTTGTACTGTGTGACTCATGCTCATGCATATAAGATATATTAGAAGGATAACAAATATTAGAAGAATACAGACATGCGAAACTTTATATGTATAGATACTTATATAAAACTATTCTTTTTCAGATCCAAGAGTGAAGGATTGGCCCATGATGTCTTCCCCATGGCCAACATTAGCTGCGTGCATAATATATGCTTATTTCTGTAAAAAAATCGGTCCTCAAATGATGGCTAACAGAAAAGCATTCGAATTTAGAAACGTATTAATTGTGTACAATTTTATACAAACAGTTTTTAGTGCATGGATATTTTACGAGGTAAGCAACGACTATCTTCTCGTAATCAACTAGTGCAAGTATTAATATGATTTAATAATTTATAAATATTATAAATATGAGATTGTATTGATATTTGCTACATAATCATTCATAAATAATATAATAAAAAGAAATATTAGATTTAGTGCTCGCTCATTGCTTTGCATGAGCTAATTTACTTCGAAATCCCCTACGTAGAAGCGAGTAAAAATGTCACAATACTCGTAATTCTGATAAGTATTAGATAATGTTAATATGAGAATTTACGTTTTACATGACTCGTTGTCTATTTGATACGTGCGAATCAGCACTTTATTTTCCCTTGCTCTTTATGTAATGCAAAACAAGTGAAAAATTAACAGCAACAATGTGCAATTAATTATATTTTTATTAATTGAGCGTTAATATCATTCATCTAATTATTTCGTAATCGTCCTCTTAACGTTTCATTTCAAGGGAATATTATTTATTTCTAACTCAATCAATTAACTTATTTTCTTACACAACCAAAATGCCGCTTTTTTTTTTTTCGTTTTTTTTAAGTATCATAAAAAAATCCTGAATCAACAGTTTTTGTCAGACTGTACATTCACCACTAAAAGTCGATGACCAAAACAAGATTTAAACTTTCACTGAAGCATACATAAGTTACAGCTGAATTAACACTAGAATTAAATACGCTTTTTGCGATACAAGGTCAAATTTAACAGAACAATGGTATTAATTAACAATATAAATTCACAGTACACATACCAAAACCTTAATTTTCATTTAGAAGCGGTGTAGCAATAAAAAGGCTTAAGAAACATTTCCACAGTGAAATAACATTTCGTCTTATATCACTATAAAAAGATAGCTAATCAGTGCAATCTCACATCATACAATTTTTGGAGCGGCAAGATAAGAAGTGTAGTAGCGATCGACGATAGTATAATTTTTTTTAATGGATGATAATGGAATGGTAACCCCGTCTTCGTTAACAGAATACGGAGTACCAGTGGGGAATGTTAGGTGAGAATGAAAAGGCAGGTCAGTTAGCCCATCGTGATGAATACACCTGGGATTCAGCATGATGTTTCCAGAGGGAACCGTGTAGAGGTCAACGTGACAGGGTATATTGCTAGCAATGGATCTGATAGTCCACATTACTAACAATCCTTTCCTCCTATAAATTGTGTTGTACTTGCTGTTGTTCATGTCTACTTGCAACAATTACCACTTCCCCTCAATTGGCTCGCAGATTCTTTATCCTTACTTTAACTTTTTATTTATAAAAGGTATATATTTAAAAGTACTTAGAATATACATAACAACCTCTATAAATAAAACCTTTTTAAACGATTCGGCCTTTTAATACAAATGACGGTCATACTAATAAAACCTCAGTAATATAGACGAATGATTCCTTTATTTTATTATATATTTATTTTTACAGTACCTGATGAGTGGCTGGTGGGGTCATTACAACTTCACGTGCCAGCTAGTCGACTACTCACGTAGTCCTATTGCTATGAGGGTAAGTCACAACTCACAAGTAGTTCAGTAAACTTTGAACCCTATATCGATATTTACACCATAAATTTGTAAATACATATTTTTCAAGTGGTCGTATCGCCTTTACCAGTGATGTCATATTGTACGCAAGTAGTAGGTACATGTTATACCTAGAATTTTAACAACTTTAAAATAAATGCAAACATTTAAGTATTACACAGTTGTTCATTCATGTTATTGACATTTGATCTCAAGTAGACTTACATTCTGTGTAATTTGCACTAACCTTCAAATGTATTCGAAAAATAATAGAGATCTTTGCTACAATATGGCGGCTGAACGCCCTTGTACGCTTAGTGACCGCCATCACATTACATTACACTATAATTAAAAACGACCACCATCGGTTGTTATTGCGACCATGACAGCGGTCATAGTCCGCAAGTGCGCTAGCATCCTCTTCTATTCACGTTAATTATCTTAAGGGCCCTCGAAACGGTCAAACTATTTGATTCAGACATAATATTTCATGATTTTTTTTAATACTAGATAATGGACTTATCAAATATTTTACTGTTGTTTTCATACATACGTCTCCGAAACTGATTATATAAATACAAAGAATTTATACACACGAACATTTATAAGATCAAAACTAATTTAGTAATATAAACTCAGAGTATAGATGATCAAACAATTGCGGCACACAAAGAAAATACAAATTTTAGCGATAGCAAGACAATAGCATACAATAGTCGACTATTGTCACTAACTACTTCATCTTTGATTACAATCATGAACATATTTTTTCGATCGTATTAAAATGGTACAATTTGCTTCCCGTCGTGGTGTAGCTTTTTTTTATGTAACATAGAATGACTGACGGCCCACCTGATACAAAGTAGTAACCGTCGCCTATAGACGTGAGCAGTACCATGGTCATAATATAGTATACTGTTTCCCCCATGATACCTCCTTGCGTTGCCATTACTGAGAACTAAGGTGTTATTATATGTGTTATCATATCCACCCTTCAAACTAAAACACAGCCATGCAAACACAACTGCTTCACGGTAGAAACACAAATCGTACACAGGTGCCCAAGCATATTGCAAACAACAATTTGTGCTGTGACGTAGTTTGCGTATGACTTAATTTATCTAATGACGGTACGCGTACGTTATTGCCGCGTGATTGGTGTGCTCTATTTCCTCTACATTGTAACTACAATGAAAGAGTATGATTCGAGTAAACTGCTATACACTTCTGTTAATATATGTTATATCACACATCTATTTCTTGTTTTAAGTAATAAAATATGTATGTTAAGTCAACATTGAAAAGACTTACTCATTGGGAAACATCGATATTGAGAAACCATTAAATTTTGCCGAGTTTGTTATGTAATCGCATATAGATCTGACTTCCGTCTACTAAACATCGTCTCTTAAGTTGGATTATAGTATCTTGATATTGACAAGTCTATCAGATTATGTTATTGAATATCTGCAGTAAACTATACAGAACAATAAAATAAATAAATAATGAATTGTAATACACAAGTGTTATAATAGAATCATCTTGAAATTTTATAGAATGGAATATCTATCACAATATACATCTTATAATATCATTTATTTATGTTTAGTCTCCACTCCCATTCTAAACACTGAATGATAATGCTAGTAATTCTTTTATTCTATGATTAATAATATTAAGAATAAATATATTCCTCAGTTAGGATCTTCTGTTGACGTTACATACATATTATTATTACTTATATATATCCTCTCAAAACATCATCAAAACCTAACTGCAGTTGCTAACCTACCTGTCAAACATGGCAACTACTGGCAAACCAAGGGAAGACCTATGTTCAGCAGTAGACAGTTAACAGTTGATATGATAATGATTATATAAGAGGCGTGAACGCCTGCGCTTTTTGTGGTTATTGTTTCGGAAAATTCCCAATACTAGATTTCTGTTTTTTGCCGATTAGAGACCGAAAACTTGTAGTTATTTATTATTACTTGTAACATTACTATATTTGCAATCTGTAAAAACTTAAAAAATCTAGACTTAGATAAACAGGAATATGGAAAATAAAATCGTCCTGATGAATTAAACTGCGGTTATATAGTTGGGGAGGTAGATGAAATTGAAACTGATGATAATCAAAAATTATAATTAATGCCTGTTTTCACTATTCGACTGCAAAATATAGTTTTACGAGTTTATTTGTATTTATATGCATACTTTTGTCGCAACTTTCAGCCTAAATGTAATCTCGTAATGACCAAATAAATGGAGGGTCATTAAATTTACCATAATTGTGGGAGTTCAATGGCTATAATACGACAGTATAACATAATAATTCGGCCAGTAACTGACAAAACCATGTGAATAATTATTTAGAAATTCAACACTGCTATTTTTGTTGTTGACCTTATTTATCATACAAAGCAGTTTATTTCATTTAAAAGAAAATTTATATCCCTAGTTTTAATTATTATTTTTATAAAATGTTATTTTATTTTTTGCTTAGATGGCGAACACATGTTGGTGGTATTACTTTAGCAAATTCACGGAATTCGCGGACACAGTTTTCTTCGTGTTGCGAAAGAAGTGGAATCAAGTGTCAACATTACACGTCATCCACCACGGGATTATGCCCATGTCAGTTTGGTTTGGGCTTAAATTCGCACCCGGTGAGTAAACTTATAACTAATTCTAAAAACATAAGTATTTTAAGTAATTCTATTTATACAGAACTATTTATATAGAAAAATAAATAGTACATATTTTAAATGAAACAGTTTTGACATAAATCGTATGAACGAAGCCCCGAAGTACAGTTCAATCGAAATACAGTAATATGATCTTGAAAACATAGCTTTAACACGAGAGTAAACTTTATAGATTTACAAACAAAAATTATCAATTCGTTCAGAATTGACAGAAATGAAGCATAACATACTCGAACACAAAATAAAAACCGATCAGGTGCGAATTGAATCTCCGCTGTTGAACATAAATATATAAATATCAAATAAAATGGTCGTTAACATTTCTCATACGAAATTCATGCTAATACTAATTCTTATTGTTATTAATTCTACAGTTCGTAATGTCTTGTTTTGGGCCATAATTATTGTTAAAAACAGAACCGCCTAAATAACGAAGTTTGTTTTTATATAATTTTCCAAAAATCATGCTAGTTCGAAACTTTGTTTTATTTTTCTTGTAAGATTATTTCAAATTTTTCGCTTTACAGAATTCTGATATAAGGGGATTTATTTTACATTTTCAATCATAACTTAAAAACTACGCAACATAAAAACAATTTTTAAACGTACAAGTTATCCCTTTCTTATAATACCCCACTTGGACTATTTGCTTAATTTTGAAATTTTAACTACCCTTTTGGACCATCTAGCAAAAAAGAATAAATATATTTTTTAAGTTCTTTCTCTCACAATATTTTTTGATCAACAATATATAAAACTATTCGAGATTTGATGTGAATAGCATTAGTTGTTGCTGAGATATAACGCTGGAACATACGGACGGACGCATAAAGTGACATTATAAAAGATTCTTTGTACGTTTTTGGTACAGAACCCTAAAAAACAGGTAAATTACTTAACGACTTTCAAGGTCTTCTTAAAATAGAATGAAGGGTTTTGCATTCTTGTTATTTTGTTATTTATATTGCTGCATTCATCCTTTCAAGCTTACAAATTTAGAAACTCATTTTTCAATTTAAGCATGGTAGTAGTATATTTTTAAACGAGATTACAAATAATACATAATTAATACAGTATTTTTTTGTTGTCTCTTTTAATTGATTTCCGGCATCGATATACAAAAAAATCTAAGACGTACAATCAAAGACTAACAAGTCAGGTATGTCTGCAGTGAAACATGCCGAAATATTTATCGATTTCAATATTTTTAATAAAGATTCGCATCCACCCATGTCATTACTATCTACTTATTTTTTAAAACACAGTTTTAGAATAATTAGGTGAAACTTTTTCATAGGAATATTAATCTTGGCATGTTTTTGTCTGTTATTTGTGATAATATTTAAGTATGTTCATATTTTATATAAACATAAACTCATATAATTTAACAAGTTTCTTGCTAGACAAACAAATTATATGTATATATGTTAACATAGGTTGTGCTAATAATATTGTGTACAAAAGACTATAAGCGTAATGGGAATTACCAGTTTTGACCTACGTGTAATAAATAGGTGTTACGAGTTGTACAATGGCCTTATAACTTATACAAAAGAAACATAAATGTATAGAATTTCTTCTGAACTAATATGAATTTAATTATGTATTGTTGCTTGTCCAAATATAATTTAATTTACTAGTTAGGTAATTAGAATTAGATTGTTTAATTCCGCTACCATTAGTATGAGTGTCACTGCCAAACATTGAGGATTGATTACTATAGTTATTTGTAGTAGTTCTACCACCTTCCCTATTAGTTATCATTCTCTGACTGTTATTCACTCGACGCATATGTTGCGACACGTGTTTTACCTCTAAACGACGCATCTTAAGGCTATTAATAGATCGCTTCTCTGAGCCTAGTGTTAACCATTCTGCGCCAAAAAATAATTACTAATGATAATATTAGCCAATCCTCAAATGTTTGCAGTTGCACGCATATTAATGGTAGCGGAATTAAACAAAATCATTCCAACCGACTAACCGAGTAATATGTACTTTCGCGTAATCCATTAAAATTATTTAATTAATTCAAATTGTAAAAAAGTTTTTTTCGGATTTACTCATAATATTTAGTTTATTACTAATTAATATTAAGAACAAGGCTTTTAAAAAATATTATATAATAAGTTATTATAAAAGTTATGATTTCTATTATATATTTGTTTTTAATGATAAAAAAGACCAATAAAATTTACATGACGTGAAAATAGTCAGATAATGGAGGCTATTAATACGAATATTTAAAATAAAATCCAATCAGGTAGTTTACTAAGCTGCATACATATTAAAGGTCAGTTAATAGGATAAAAGGAAAATTGTAATATTATTCAAAGTTGTTGACTTGTAGATCAGGAAGTTGTTAAATGACTAATATCAAATACACGTGTACGTTGTTTTAGGTGGTCACAGCACATTCTTCGCACTGCTGAACACGTTTGTACACATAATTATGTATTTCTACTATATGGTGTCTGCCATGGGACCGAAGTACCAGAAGTACATATGGTGGAAGAAGTATCTTACAGCTCTCCAACTGGTATGTATGATGATAAAATTAATTCGATGCAGTGAATATTGCATCTTTTTTTTTTTTTAATTTAAACTATATATTAATTAGACAACAATGGATTTGCAACAAAGTTTAACATGTTGAATCCAGCGTGAAGAGGATAATCTTTGTAAACAACAAAAGAGGCGCTTTATGTTGCGTGATGATTGGCAACTTTGTTTGTTGCATTAAATTACATTTGCAACATCTGGATAATTATTTTCTAGAATATTGTTGTAAATAATCGTTTTTTTTTTTTTATAATGGTAATATAACTGACGTCCTACCTGCTGGAGGGTGGTAACCATAGCCTATAGATTTAAACAGAGCACCATATAAATTACAGAATACACTATTACGTCCATTGTATACCTCATAAGTTGTCATTCCATTCAATGAATGAATAATTTTAATATTCGAACATTCATACACTTCTATTTTCAATACAATAATTCATTTTTGATATCCAATTTTAAGCTGTCAAATTAGCAACTGATTTAAACAATTAATTTGATCTTGTCAAAAAAATTTATGCAACTGTAATTACTAAATCGACTATATTTACAATGAACAATTGTCATACTATATTTACAGGTGCAGTTTGTTATGATCTTCACACATCAACTGCAAGTGTTGTTCCGACCCTCATGCCAGTACCCTCGTATCTTCGTCATCTGGATCGCGATGCACGGCTTCCTCTTCCTTTTCTTGTTCAGCGACTTCTACAAGGCGCAGTACATTAAGCCTGAGAAGAAAGCCAAGGCAGCCACTGGATTGTGCATGGTAAGATTTACGTGAATCATTCTCACACAAACTTCGATATGTTTTTTTTATGCTTTTTTTTGTACAACTTAGAATGACAACCAAGCTAACGGCCCACCTGATGGAAAGTGGTAAGCGTCGCCTATAGACATGAACAGTATCATGGACATAACAGAGTATACTTTTTCGCCCATGATACCCCACGTGCATTGCTATTCCTGAAGACTAAGGTGTTAAACCTCTGTATTCTTTAAATTCACTGCCATATCCCATATCGTATCATCTTTCTACCCTTATCCTAATTCTTATTTGGGGTCGCCGTAATTTTTTTTTCTATCCATAATTCAAAAAGATTTGGTTTACAGTAATAAATAGAAAGACGGAGAGTAGTGTGATATACTAAATTATACAGAAATATTTAAAAAATATAACACATGGAGACTAGTGTAAAATTTACCAAAGGTTCATTCACACATTGACGAATTGTTTGTATTGCTAGTCCAAATACATTTAAATTTTCTATTAATTTCACCATAAATACCGGAAAATTCCATGACTTATGAATATTAAGTTACCACAACAATCAATCACGTCTTAAATTACAACTATGGAAATATTCTTGTTAGTTTAAAAATAATCCAAAATCTACTTTTATTCCAGGCAATAGACGAGAACAGCAGTGCCCAGAATGGTTACAAACAAGAAGAGGGTTCGGAGGTGCCGAGTTCATACGCGTCGTCAACAGACGCGTTCGTACGACGGCGGCCGGTTTCGTAGTGCTGTATATATTTAGCTCTATCGTTCATAGGACCATCTCGAATATTCCACGGCGACAAAAAGCCCTAGTTGACCTGAGACTGATGTTTTACATTATAAAGAAGCATATAGTGATTATTCTATGGTGCGAGTACCTCGGGTAGTATAGACGAACAAGCTGCGGGTTCGCCCATTGGGATTAGTTGTATGGGTCCGATGGCCCGGTATGTGTCTCGAATATGGTGTGGGTAAATTTTCATGCATTCTTTAATACTATCGCACATAACGATTACTCTGGCACTAGATTTCCGTGAACTTATTTAATATTGATATGAAATGCACGGATAATACTGATATTGAATGTATATTATTCACCTGTAAACTACCAACCTCAACAGAAAAGATAGTCAATGCACAAAGCGAGTCACAAAGTTGGTTTGAAAGTTGTCTAATGCCTTACATTTTTTTAAAAGTACAAATATTAAAATACTAAGAGTATTTAATTATTGTATCTATTTAATCTTTCCTAAAATTTACTTCAATTCGATCCCATTTTTAATTCTTTTCTTTTCTTCTGTTTACTACGAAAATTAGTCTGGTCGTGGTATTCACTAAAATTGTATCACTTCATATTAATATTCGAGGGTGACAGTAAGGACGTTTTGTAATGTGTGTATATTTTAATAAATAAAAAATATGAGTGTTAAATTATGTAATTAGGTGTATTGAAGGTTAATGGATTATTTGTAAATAAATTTGTTATAAAATCGCTGTTTGTAATATGAATCATGTTACCAAATTCTTAAATATGTTAAATCTTCATAACTGCATTCTATTTTTTGTACTACTTGTTCTGAGCTCAACTATCTTATACTATATTATATATTAATCAAATATCTTATACAAACTATAAACCTACTTTAAACCTATACCCAGTCTGGGCAACAAATTTTTGGTGTAATCAAACCTGCAAACAACACTTACCACATAATTCGTAAATACGAAAAATTCAAATAAACCAATGTATTGTCACTGTTTTTCAAAATTTTGCTCGGACAAAAGGATCATAATCATTCATCATCCATTGCAATAACCAATAGGTTTATTAGAATTTTGACGTATGGTTAACCAATATGTAATGGTGGCAAAAGTGTACTTTTAAATATTTCTATCTTATATTGTACAAAGACTCAATTACATAAAATATTTGATGTTCTGACTTCCAACCTTTCCAATATTTTTATAGTACATATCTATAATATTTTTATTGTAATTATTGCACTGTGTGTATTTGTAAATTATTATTTTTATAAATAAATGCTCTACTCAACAATGTAAAAAATCAAATATGTACAGTAGCCGGGTATAATTCTTTACTAGTGTGAAAATACAGTTGTCAAGTCATCATGTCGTCTTCATAACATGGGTATAATTATTTTTAATATGTTGGCCATTCTCTAAATGTCCCCAGAATTCTAATTTTAGAGAAAGTATACAAACATTATTCATTCTTCTAAATGTCATGACGCTATTACACATTCAGTAATAAATTATAATTTGTAAATTTAAGAAGTCAACTTTATGCCTTTTTCGCTCTAGTAGAACTTGCATGGATGAGAAAGATCTCCAATATAAGTGAATTTTAAAAACCTGTTTTGATAACGACATTTTGAAATTGCAATGGGGCCACCATTGCAGTGTATGCTTTAAATGTTGTGCAATGTGTGAAATGCCGGTAGCTTGTAGCGCGGCGGCCGCGGAATGTTACCGCCGCAACTAAACTGCTCAAGCTGCGTATTCACTCTTTTGCAACTTATTTATTACTTTAATAAAGGGTTTTACAAAAAAAAGCATTATATTTTTTAATCCTTATTCCTGTGAATCAATCCAATTTACCTATTACTGTTTAATTTAGACCTAAATACAATGAAATTTTAACTATATTAACGCCATGTCTTGATGAGTAGCACAAAATAAATAGATGTGCAAAATTATAATAATAAGATAATTCAATGAAGATATTTCATTAATGTTCATAAATTACTGTTTATTTTTATTATGAAAAAGTATATTCAGAAATTATTCCGAATAAGTATATATATCAACATCAACTAGTTGTGTATAGATCTGCAACTTACAAGTAGAATGATAAAGAAACTGACGGCCGTCCTGATGCAAAGTGATAACCGTCGTCTATAGACATCTACTGCACCATAGTCATCACAGAATGCTCTCACGTTCTTGGTACCCCTCATGTTGTCTTACAATTTCTAAGGATTAAGGTGTCATACCTCCATATTGTGTAATTTCACTGCAATATCTGAAACACACATGCAAGCATAACTGCTTCAAAGCAGAAGGTACAAGTGAGATAGAAATACCCAAGCAGACGACTTTTGTAACTGCCCTCTAGTTGAATAAATTAAATTCTAATCAGAGATTATAATTTAATTATATCCTCTTTTTTAATACAAAATATGTTTTCTTAATATGAACTTTTTTTTAATATACTTGTTGCATTAAATAACTACCGTATTTTTTTTTCTTCTCTAGCCAAAAGTTGATTAGAAGAGAATAAAACCGCCTTTTGTACTTTATAAGTGCATATTTAAGTTATGCCAACTCCAGAAGTATCATCTCTAAAATTTTTTTGCACTCTGATATTAACAAATCACGTTTTTAATGGACGATAATAATAGCCTGCACTAACGGTATACGCTGGCATGGCACCAGTGAGGGTTGATAGATGAGAATGAAAAAAAGCAGGTTAGCCCATCGTGATGAATACACTTGGAATTCAGTGGTGGTTTCCAAGGGGCGGAGGGGGCACGGGAAGGTCGACATGGTTGGGTGTATTGCTAGCAATAAGGCTCTTCCTATTTACATGTATAATTAATTATATATGTAATAAATATAATTTATTATGTAAATAAATATATATATATTCGCATCCATATATTTTGAAAGTAGTCTGTTACGAGGAAGGATCAAAAAGTAGTGAGAATAAGATAGAATATAATGACTATTGATAAATTAATAATTTATTTTTCTACATAGTATCCGAGTCTCTCTACACACCGAGTCCAGCGCTACTCCTAGGCTTCAATCCCTTTCAAAAAAAAGTTTTGTCTTGGTCCTGCAAAAAGCTCTCCACGGCATCCATCACCTCATTATCGTCTTCGTACCTGTTTCCCCTTAAGTATTCTTTCAATTTGAGGAACAGATAAAAATCACTAGGCGCCAGATCTAGTGAATAAGGGGAGTAGTCAACCAATTCGAAGGCAGCTTGCTGAATGGCAGCCATCGCAACTGCCGACCTGAGCGCGGGTGCGTTGTCGTGATGAAACAGCACGCCCCTTCGAATTTTTCCTCTCCTTTTCTCTTTGGTGGCATTCCTCAACCTGGAAATTAAAGCTGCATAATATTGGCCTGTAAAAGTGGTTCCACGCTCCAAGTAATCAATCAACAATGTCCCTTCTGAGTCCCAAAATATTGAGGCCATTGCCAGCCTTGCCAGCCACCACCACACCTTGCCAGCCGATGCCACGGAGCGCAACTTCTTTGGGGTTGGTTATGTTGTCCGTTTCCATTGCGAAGATTGCTAGTTTGTCTCGGGATAAAAAATGATGGACCCATGTTTCGCCCATTGCTACAAAACGAAACAAAAAGTATTCAGAATCTTCTTGAAAGTTGTCCAACAATATCTTCGAAATGTCAAGTCGATTTTGTTTCTGACTGGTACTCGGTTAATATTCTCGGCACCCATCTTGCGAAGACTTTTTTCATATTCAAATGTTCAATATGGATTGAATACTTCCACATGAAATGCCCGTTTCTTGAATTAAGTATCGAATGGTAACTCTTCGATCGCCTCAATAATAATTTTCTCGACTTTCGCAACATTTTCTTCGGTGGCTGTTGTCGATAGACGGCCGCAACGATGTTCGTCTTCCGTGTTCCTTCTCCTTACTCGAAATTGAAAAACCCACCTTGCGACAGTGGAATACGGCGGAGCAGACTCTCCTAATGTTGCCTTCAAACCGCAATGAATCTCTTGCGTTCTTAAGTTTTTTAAACAGAGGTATTTAATACGGGTCGCACTTCGTTTTTCTCCATTTTCGAGAACACGTTCCGACACGAAGCAAACAAATGACTACATTTAGAAAAGAACAAAAGAGAATCGATGATTTTTTCTATTTTAATATTACAAGTATGTATCTGAGCTATACCTGCCAGTTACTTTTTGATCCCTCTTCGTATATATATAAATATATTAAAAACGGCTGCTCACGTATTCTCAAATGTGAAGCTGTGGTCCATCAACGTTTAGAAATCCTCGAAACGGTGAGGTCGCTCCGTGAGGCCTGTGAAGGTCCCAGGAAGCTTCTGTGCTTCTGGGCGGAGCTGGGTTGGCTGTACTAGCCACGACTCATACGCGCAATGACCCAAATGAGAGGCTAAGCGCGGAAAAAAGTGTTTAATTTACATTATATTATATTATATATTAACTCTACGCTAAAGACATTCAATTCTACGACAGACTTTTGCTGTATGATATCGCAGCTCAAGAATGTACCAGCAAAAAAACACAATGTGCACCTAGAACAAAAGTAAGTAAATCAGAGATACAAATAAATTATAAAAAAAAGACAGTACCATCTTGCTAAAGTCTTTGATGCATTCATTCTGTTTCTGTATTCAGTACCTATATACAATTCCATATTTATTTATAGCACAGTAACAGAATACAAATCAATACATAAATAAAAAAATATTACATAAAACAGCATTAAATTTGTACTCCAATAAGCACTCTGCATAACATTCGGTATTAATATTATATGTACGAGTATATATAATAAATAAGTAACATAAAACGACACTACTATCTAATATGTGCCTCTAGAGAATTCAAATATGCCTATATTTTTTAAGATAACATGGAGGAACATAAATTATTTAGATACTAAATTATTATTAGAACGTAGTATTTACACGCCATTATTTGCTCTACCTACTCATTGTGGTACAAATCTTAAAATTGACGTTATTACCTATTTGTATATTTCAGATGATTGCTCTATTGGGAAACATTTAAATGTGGCCGTTTACCTATCAGTCATGTCCTTCGTTTTCTTGATTATATCTCATAACTGTAATTATAGTATACGTCTAAATATTTACCGATTTAAGAATATATGAAAATGTATACGCATTATGATTTTTATACTTATTCTGTACAGATATAATGCAGATACATGCTTACATGCATACACAAGTTTGATGCTACTTCAGCAAGTCATATAAAAAAATATGCTTACTTTACAGGTAAATCTTCTTTTATCACGAAGAGCTCATCTCCAGTAACGGCACCTTATTGGAATTGTTAAAATGATGATAATGGAAGTAGGTATATTGTACACAATAGGTCAGTTCTTAAGATTATTATTGTTAAAATAATTAAATTTACTTTGTATGACGATGACGATATAAACGGACCATAGTTGAGTACTTCAACCCGAAACAAAATATTTGCTACGAACCAACACACTAAGTAAATGTGTACTTGTAAATATAAAGATGAACACCATTATTTTAACTTTGATTTGAATAATTTACATATAATATATAAGTATAACTACCTACATGAAATTCGTAATTATCTTAAGTGGACTATCAAATTTTATGGTTATTTTTTTACAAGTTATTGTTGATGATACAGGTGCCTATAAAAATTAAAATTATACTTCCTTTTCCTACTTTTTTTAATACAATAATCCAAGAACAAGTACTTGAAACGTATGGCCAATCTGATAACGTACCTACGTAAAAATAATTATTAATATAATATTCATAGTTAATAATAATAAAACCCGAACAATCCCACCAATCTCCTGGTCTATAAGCTATAAGAATAACCTGCATTACGAGGAATCAGGTAATTAACACTTTTTTTTATAGGTGATAATGAAATAGTAACCCCACCCGCGCTATCGGTATATGCTGATAGGGCACCAGTGAAGGATGATAGACGAGGATGAAACAGGTCAGTTAGTGTAGTTAATGCTAATGTTTTGTTTGAATTTTACTAAACAGTGAAAAGAAAATATTGTAGAATATTGAACTATGGTAAATTTATCTATATATAGTGCAAAATATGCGTATAATCTGTCTGATGGTAAATGATTGTTCTTTGTGATATTTTTACATGGTGCTGTTCACATCTATAGAGGACGGTTACTTTTTTTTAATGGGTAATAATGAAATGGTTACCCCACCTGCGCTATCGGTATACACTGGCGGGGTACCAGTTAAAAATGATATGTGAGGATGAAGCAGGTCGGTTAGCCCATCGTGACGAATTCAACGAGAATTGTTCACGATAGTTTCCAGGAGGAACCACGCGGAGCTTGACCTGATAGGGCATATTGCTAGCAATGGGGTTGTCAAACTCCATTGCTAACAATCCCTTCCCCCCTAATTAACACTTTGGGATACACCCACAATACTCAGACCTGAGCCAAACCAGTAAAGTTCGTTTCCTATAATGGGCTCAATCGGAAATCGAAGCCGGGATCTCATTTACGTAAAGCAACGTGCCCACTACTACGCCAAGGAACCTCCAAGGCGCAGAGGTGGGCACATTGCCTTGTTATGGTATCTGTTTATACTGCTAGAAAGTAGACAAAATTATGCAAAAATGCAAAAATCTTTAATAAATGGGACATAGGTCTTCTGAATACATGGATCATATCTGAAATGGGCTTAGTTTACATAAAATAAGTACTTTGACACATTCTATGATTTTACTAATATTAAAAAGTTATTCTTTTTTAATATAAATTAATAATATTTTTATAGATTAATAATATTTTTAAGGTTCTACACATTCTTTAGTTTATTAGTTATAAGACCAAGATAACTTTAACAGAACGTAACTGCTCTACAATTTTATACAAAATGACTCTATCTAAAGCCAACTACTTATAGATGAAGGATTGGGGTCAATAGAATACTTATGTATTCATTGCGTGTTGATTTTAAAGATAACTATTTTATCTTTATTTATTTAAGCACCCGTACTCAGTTTAAAACGACAACACGAATACGAGACACATTTTGGTACTCGCTAATCATCAGTCTTTTCATGATTACTATTCACAAGCAAATACACAAATTAGACTCATTGCTGAAACCGTCAGACCATAAAGTGTACAGAAATACAGGTATGCAACCATAAAAACTATTTTTTCAGTACTTCACTTGCTATATCTACATATTTTACTCTTTGGTGTACATACAATCTGTTATGTAACCGTTAACGAATTGTGTGCGAAAGAAATTAGCAGGAATGATCTGTTCTTCCATTGAAAAATCTGAGTTACTTCTTATTTCACGTTCTAATAAAACTCCAAGTGATTTGAGAAACCTTCAGACTTTAGCTAGGTTTCCGTTTTCGACAGATGTATGGATGTGGCGACGTTGAGCTTCCCTACATGCTCTATTACAATGATTCCTAGCTCTAATGTAATGGTCACGATATTTATCAGTGTTTCATTTAAATTTAGTTTTTGCCTTGTTTTTTTAGCCTGAAGAGCTTTAATATCATTAGTTAGCCAGGAAGCAGGAAAATGCTTGAGACGCACTGGACAAACAGGAGCATGGCGATCGTATAACTCTAGGAGAAAGGAGTTGAACAATTTACTTGCTCATCAACTGAGTTCTGGCTACTAATTGTTCAGTTGCATGCGGCAGTATCTTTTTGCAACTGCTCCAAGTTCATGGCACCAAAACTGCGCTGCATTACCAATCTACGCTTAGGTTTAGGCGGAAGAATTTTGTAAGAAAGGTAAATTAAATTGTGGTATGAGAAGGCATCTGCAGGATACTGACCATGCCTAGCGACAAAATCAGAGGACGAAACAAACATAAGACACAGGGAAGGATTACTATTGGGGAAAAAGTGTGTTGGCTGAAGGGGTATGGAGGTTACAAGAGTCAGCAAGAGAAGTGAGACGTTTTGCGCAGAAGGCATCTTTCAGGAGACATGTGTTAAAATCACCCATAATTATGGTGTGATTATAGGATGGAATTAAGTTTTTTAGGGTATTCACGAGAAGTAAAATAACCAATAGGAAAGGAAGGACTATAAAATACACGAAGAACTTTAGAATGTGAAAGATTATCATCGATAAATAGGAATTCAGTTTCATTAGAAGGATTGGAATTATTAGAAAACTTTATAATCTTGTAAGCAAAATGAACGCGACTCCACCGCCACTTGCCAATACTCGGTCATTGCAAATAAGATTAAAACCAGGCAAATCGTATGAGGCAGATGACAGACATGCTTTCAGCCAGGATTCCAAGACTAGAATATAACATATACGTTATTAACGTCAAAAGATGCAAATAAATCTGGGTAGTGGGCTGGAATACTTCGTGCGTAATGCGAATATATACTAATATTTAAATTTTTATGTGTGCTGTCAAAATTCAATTTTAAAATCTCATTTAGAGGGATAGGGTCACTGAAAGTAGAATCCTAACTAGATGACGATAAACATAAAGAAAAAGAGCAATTACATTGATCAAACATACTCGTATCAATAAAATATTACAAAAATAAATAATTATTAATAATATTTATTTACTACTAATATAATCACTTACTAATATTGCGATTGGTTCTAGCCATCTGAATTTAAAAGGTTAATTTAAATATATTTCTAATTTTGTTTATTTTAATAAAAAATATTTTTATTCTATTGCCAGCAAATTCGTGTTTATTTCGTTTTTATAAATTATTCAATAATTTCTGTCTGTTTATTGAAATTACCTATAGTACAAAATCGTAGATATTTCATATCTTTTACCAGTATATACAATATAAAATTATTTATTTGACGTAAAACGCCTACATATGACTTATCATTTAGAAGACATTATATGTTTAAGATTACCTCATGATCATTCAATAAAATACAGGTACAACTGTTATTTTCCGTAGATATAAAGGATCTGTGGTTAAATGCATTATTAATATGTATAAATAGGTAAACCACGTAGGAACTTTAATAAGTATTATACAATAAATTATATTACACTTAAGTTATTACTATGGCAGTGGAAACTTAAAGCAAAAAATCCGCTTTTACAAAACAGCTATAGAAATTAATGCAATTTTTAATAGCTAAATATTTACTATACGAGTAGGTAATAAATATTTTAAAACAAGAATTTTATTTTTGCAGTGAGTAAGGTTCCATTCTGACATTTTTTATTTTTTTTATTTTTGAAACTTATGTTTAAATTTAACGATGTCTAATATACTATGTGTAAGGGAAATTCTGAGTAGTCCTAAAGAAGACTTCTGGGTGAAGTCTTCTTTAGGATAAGTATGGTGCTTAGAAACCAATTAAAATTTTTGTTTCAATTTAAATCTGAATAGATTTACTATCCGCTTTTTAAATAGTTTAGATTTTAAATCAAAATAGCTGGATATTTTTATATCAAAATAATTTACTTTGTTAAAATTGAAGCCTAATTTTTTATAGAATAGGTACAAACTTAAATAATATGTTTATTTTGGTTTCTTG